GTGGTTCCAAACTGAATCTGGATAATTACATCGTTAATCAACATGAAACACCATCTTTTTTGTCGGAAGAGACAAGTTTGTTAAAACAGCTGCAAAGTGTTCAGCATGAGTAATACGACGTATGCGTTAGTTAGCAACGTATGGAAGTTGGACAGAGAACAAAACAAATACGGTGCTACAAGGTGCGTGCTGGCAAACGCTAATAAGAAAAGAAGAAAATCTGTACACTCTTACCTCGGTTATCAAAATACTGGATTAAAGGAACTGAATCTGAAGACTCACTTGACGTCACGGGTTGGTAGATCAGGGGAGTCTGTTGGCCGCCGGAATCGGCCGCCGAACTGCCCTGAATAATTTGCAGAGTCGGCATCGTCCCTGTGAGCGTCGCAAGACTGTTCTGGTCCAGTTGTATGATCTGTAGGGGACCCTAAATAAACGAAGCGTTGCTGAATCGGTGGAATCACGACCTGTGTATCTATAACAGTAAAACATTCCTACCCTGTTCTGAAAAGTAGGAGTAACACAGATTCATATATGATATTCAGCCATGCTGAGGACAGAGTTCCTTCATTCTTTCCGTGGCGTCTCCTAACAGATCACGTGAGAAATGCATTGACTCAGTAAATCAGTGCGACACTGATCGGTTCGAAGACACTTTACTGTACGCAACAGTCCCCTGTCGACTATGCGCAAATGAAATGGGCAAATCCATAGTATCAGTTTGTCATTAGACAAGCCTAACGTATTTGGATGCGCTTTCGGACTACGAGCACCAACGGAAACGCAGAAGTATATGATTTCGTCTATCGCCTTCGTCGTCTTACTGTTCAAGACATACATCTTCCACAAAGCAATGGCCAAAACAACAACACAAGAATACTACTGAAAACGTGCAGTACTGAAAGGTTGTGCGGCAACGAAGAGCTGCCCTGCAGCTGCACCGTTTGTCCATTGGCCAGCTGGACCAACAGCGGCTTAGAAGACGACTGAGAAATGACGGCAGACGTCCCGCTAGACTGAAGGAACTGGAACTGCAAAAAGAAGTAGTTCGCGAGCCATCAATCTTGCATCCTGTCGAAAAATGCTTACCTGTCCAAGAGAATATTGCGGTGACCCACTGAGGTATGTTAACGAAGTCGAAGCCTGGCTGGTGCCCTGGCCATCCTGATTATCCATACTAAAAGAAAAACAAATGCAAATACTAAAAACAATAGAGAACTGGTTAAAATACTGCAGCGAGAGAAACAGAAATGTCTCTCTAAGGTAAAAAAAACAACTTTGAATATGACAATAACTGCCAAATGATCAGTCACTTGCCGCTGAAATTCTGTTACACATGAAACGAAGAAAGTCACTGTGAGACGGTACGGGAAAGTTGACAGGTTTTGAAAAATAATGGATAGAAAATAAGAAGACGAGACGTTTTATCGACATTTTAGGGTATGAATGATTACTCATTATCATCTGTAAGTAAAAAGGAGAAAAACGCCAGTTAAAACCGATAAACTAAAAAACAAACATAAATAATATAATAATAAAAACAATAAACAGAATAACATAACAGACTGGAACGACTGCACACCAGTGATCGATATGACACAGTCCACTAGCTCCGTTTCAGAAAGAGAAAAAATACAAAACGTAATAGAATGTAAAACAGGAGAGTGATGCAAAAGCTGCATCAGGTAGTTTTCTCAGAACCCCATACCCCCAAGTTTGTTTCGATCATCACCTTGAACCGCTTCCTACTCCACAACTTCACTTACTTGCGACTTTTACGTTTCTAGCTTGCGTATGTTTTAACGTTGCGTATGGAAATCATGCGTCAAAATTACGCAAATCTCTGACTATTTCTTGACGAAAGTTGAAATAGCTTAGCATGTCATAAATGATATGTATTAATACAAACTTGTATGCACGTCATATGAAAGGCAGAACTGTGAAATGGCCACATCCCGAATTTATCAAATATGAAAAATAAAAAGACTGTTAGAAGCCGGAAAAATTTTTTTAGACGATTTCTCTTTCAGTACTTTATTATGTACTGAAGAAAGAACTTCAAGAAAGGGGTCCAAACGCGTCTCTTAAAAAATATATTTTCAGGCTTCTAACCGTCTTTCATTTTCTAGTATCATTACGAGGCTGAATGATTTTCTGACTTTTCGAATTCTTTAGATATATTCACAATGCTCTTTGTGGGTAAATAGAAGTGATGGCCTTCGCTACCTGTGCTTGAGATGTTCGGCAATGTGTACTTATTCTAGAAATATCTATCCTAAAAGCATAACGAAATCTGTTAGCTCCTGGTAACCAGCTAAATGTGGCTCACTAAGTGAGCATTTAATGGTAAAGAATAAGCCTTCACATTTACTGAAGTTACTCTGGAAAATACGCCCCCCCCCCGCCTTTAATCTTTAGTCTACACTTTCACTCTAATCACGAAGGAAACGATAAAAAACGTAAGAAAATGCAATAGGAAGACCGATGACGAAGCCAAATTTACTCCTGGAAGGCATAGCTCTCCGGCAAAAGAGGTCATCTCCACGGAAGCTAGTAGCCGCAGTGCCTGCTCATAACGGAGAAACGTTGTCTCTAAAGGTTTTTGCCCCTAATGTTCCACGAGACTTCGTATAAAGCTATGCCAATCAGAGTACACATGACCGATGTACCCGAACGGTGTCTTCGCCCATGTATTGCCAAAGAACATGCTTCTGGCATCTCATCAAAACGGAGCCGACAAAAGCGGGGACAAACAAACGCATGCAGAGACAAGCACAAGTATGGAGATGCTGTTAATTTTTAAATAATTTACTAAGAATAAATTTATTTTAGTCTACAAGATATAATAAATCTTTTTGTACATATTTCTATATTTACACTCAGTCAGCATAATGTAATACATTCAGAATTAGT